ATAATCGAATTATCAACAAGCTAACAATAAAATAATAGTGATTACAAAAAAAAATGAAACTTAAATTTTTACGTCAACTAAAAATAATAGAATAAATATTAAATATAACAAAATTACCTTTTGCTAGCACAATTACCTTGCGCACAGCATGCAATCTAGGGTATACAGAGTCTTAGTTGCATGTGCCTCATTATGTTGCATATAGGCCAGGCCGACAATATTTTAATTTGGCCAAAGCTCGGCGCAGCCAGCGGCCATTCGGCAACTGCAACGTCTGCTGCTGTTGCTGTTGTTGTTGTTGCAGTTGTTGTTGTTCCTGTTAGTGCTATGTGTCCTGCTCTGTCTGTTGTCTGTTAACCGCAATAATTTATGCCTTTGAGCCGTGTTTGAGTCAAAGCCATAGTATATGTGTGTGTGTGTGTGTGTATGAACATAATTTTGCCTATTAAAGCAAAACACTAACAACGCTTATCATTACAAGCATCGCCATGGCAAGCAAGCAGGCAGGCCACAACAACAATCAGCTGCGCTGCGCTGCGATGCGCATCCTTTCGTCGACGCCATTTTGTTTAGTTAATGCTTTGTGTGCGTGTGTGTGTGCGTATGTTTGTGTGTCTTCGCCTCACACTTCCTTTCTAATGCAAAAAAGCGACTTTTCAGCACAAAATTTTTAGCAAAATTAAAATATTTATGTTGCCGACGTGCTTAATGCCTCGCGCTGCTGCTGCTGTTGCCGCTGCGCCGTCGACGCTCCGGATACTCCGGCAACTACACCCACGGATGTTGCTGCTAAATGTGTGTGAATGTGTGTGTGTGTGTGGGCTGTTATGCGAACCCATATACACGGCTATATGCAGCGGTATCTGTATGAGCCTTAGCATACTCTTTTTTGCATAGGAGCTATGCGTGAGTTTTTTGTTGATCTGTCGAGAGCTACTGAAGTTTTAGCTGTTGCTGCAAATATGCTTTAATAATTTTATAAAATTAATTTAGTTATTATGCACTTCAAAAACTTTAAAAGTATTTAATAATTTCATTAGATTTAAGATCTTTCTGAGAATCAATTACTTCCATCAAAATTCCAGAATTTACCTCAGATGCGATTTCGCATTAAAATATTTCCTTATAGAGTGTCAACGATTCGTTATTATGGCAGCTTGCGGCTTGTTTATTTTAATGCAGGCGTTAAACAAAAGGCAATGTTTTTGCTGAGGGTCCGCAGCTTTGCCGTGCCCCCGCGCGCGCCCTCGTCCTCACCGAAGGCAACATCATGGGATGCTGCCACTTACCATTTGCACTTTAGCAACATCATTTTGCTGCATATAAATATGGTACGTGGATGGGGCAGCTATGCAGCAGCATGCCAAGCCAAACTGCAACTTCTTCATTTAGATGAAAAACAATATATTTAAGCATCAATTGTGGCATGCGCATGCCTTGTGGGTATACTTCAGGCAAGCGAAATACCCTAGCCGAACGCAAATTAAATGTTTGGCTATTTTTTTTTTACAAATTAATTATATTAAGCTCCAGCTAATGCATATTTTTATTATACAAATAAATGAAAATGTTTTTAAACTGTCATTAGGCCCGCAGCAGGAAGCCACAAAAACGAAAAGAAATGGGGGAAAAAATTAAAAAGGAAGCGAGGATCCTGCAAAAGGGAAGCAAAAGTAAATTAAGCACAATTCCTCGGGCATAACTTGGGCGCAAGTTCTGTGAGGCATTTTTTGCTCCCTCACTCTTTCTCTTTCTCGTTCACTTTCTCTATCTACCTCTCTCTATCTCTGTTTCACTTATTCTTATACTCTCTTCTTTTGTGCAATTTTTTCCTTGGTATTGCGTTTCAACGTCTGTTTTTTTAACGCTTAAATTTATGGCTATTTTGGGACCCACCGCAGCCTCTGGGCCAAGATTTGAGCTCTTCTTTGGGACTAGCCGCTCTGCTATGCGCTACGAACTCTGCCCTGGGGCTGAAAGTTTAAATACATGTTTTTAATTTTTATTTGACTCATTGAGAATTTAAAAACATATAAAATTAAGTGCGAGCTTGAGCGACTGAGAAATACTCTGTTAAAATGTTAATTAATTTTTTTAATGACTATTAATTCTAAAATATTTATATTTTTAATGGGTTAAGTTAGACTACTTTCTAAATTTTTTTAAGCCTTAAGCTGACTTTCATTTTTTTTTATTTTCAGTTTACAGTGCTATTCTTTAGTTTATAGGAATGCATATACCCATATTTATAGCAAAAAATTAAAATTTCATTAAAAATTTATGTAGACATTGACACAACGCGTAACGATCTCTTGAATATTGTTGATAGAAAACATTGGCTTTAT